CAGCAGCGTCTTAGGGAGAACCCCTTCTGCTCAGAAGAGACAGCTTCTTCTCCACTTTCCCCCACGTCCTTGCTTCTCAATCTCCCTGAGTTTCAGTTAAAACTGCTGACATACAATGAGATCCCACCTCTTCCTTAGCAACTCCCACCACAGAGCTCATTCTGACCCCTGGCGTCAGAGTAGTGCTGTGGCCCATAGGGTTTTCAAGTGCTGTCCTTCCTTCCTTCCTAGTAGGTCACTTGATGGGCTCAGACTTGAACTGCATGGTCAGCAGTTCAAAACCACCAGCAGCCCCGAGGGAGAAAGACTGGGTTTTTTCCTTCCGTAAAAGGTTCCAGCTTCAGAAACCCACATAGGGGTCGCTGAGTCAGCACTGACTCCATGGAGTGAGTGAGTCCGTCTGAGGTACTTATGGGTAGACGCAAGCTGCCAACTGTGGGTTAGCAGCCAAGTGCACGAGCCATCTGCACGACCTTTATGTGTGGGGATATTTTCCTGGATGCTGCAGGGCAATGGGAAGAGGATGGGTTGTGGGGCTCCTGATGCCAACGACACACTCAACAACATTCTCTTCCTCCTGCCAGCGCTCCCAAAGAGGGCAAGATGGGCTCAGACCCATCTCCCGGGGTAGAGAACAGGCGGCCACTTCTCGGTTATACCCGGAAACCCTCCACCTTACCAAACACGCTGCCCCTTTTCCAGGGATCGGTCTCTCATGCTCACATGCCCAAAGTATGCGACAAACTCTCGACCCCTTGTTTCTAAAACGCTTATGTACGCTTCTGGCTGTCCGCGGTACTTTCAACATTCTACGCCAACACCAGACCTCAGCTGCATCGGTTCGTCTCTAGTCTGCGTCACTCATTGTCTAGTTTTCACGTGTGGACGCCGTTACTGCAAACAGCAGGTCTGGGCCAGGTGCACCCTCAAAGTGCCATATTTGCTCACCAACACATTGAAGAGAACTTGTGCAGCAGATGTGCCCAATGCCGTTATTTGATCTCGTAACTATTGCTTCCGTGACCACTGATGGTGGGTCCTAGCAAGATGAACTCCTTGACAACTTCAACTTCAATCCCCTAACTCCGAGTCTCGTTGCGAGGATTTAAGTTTTCTTTACATCGAGTTGTAATCCACACTGAAGTCTTCTTTAGCAAGTGCTTCAGAGTCCACTTTACCTTTTGCGAGCAGGGTTGTGTCTACACGCGCAGGTTGTTAGTAAGCCTTCCTCCAGTCTTGACACCGTATCCTTCTTCATGCAGCCCCGCTTCCTGGATTATTTGCTTGGCATATAGAATGAATAAATACGGAGAAAGGATACGACTCAGATGCACATCTTTCTTGATCTTGAACATGGAGAATTCACTTGTTCTTTCTGAACTGCCTCTTGGTCTATATACTAGTTCTGCGTGAGCACAAAGTGTTCTGGAATTCTCATGCTTTGCAATGTTATCCATAATTTGTTACGATCCACACAATTGAATGCTTTGCATAGTCAATAAAACTCAGTAAATATCATTCGGGTATTCTCTGCTTTCAGCCAAGAACCACCTGATGTCAATGAGATTGCTCGTGCCGCATCATCTGACTTGAATTTCTGGCAGCTTCTTTCCAATGTTCGGTTACAGCTGTTTCCGAATCGTCATCAATAAAATGTCACTTTGTGTGTTATATTAATGACACTGTCCAATAATTTCCAGATTCTGCTGGGTCACTTTCTTTGGAATGGGCACAAATATGGATGGATCTCTTCCAGTTGGCTGGCCAGGTAGCTGTTTTCCAAATTGCAGGTGGCTGGAACATTTAAATGGTTGAATGTTGGACAATTCTTTCTGGCACAGTGATTCTATATATTCCTTTCATCTTCTTTTGATGCGTCCTGCATCATTCAATATTTTGCCCATAGAATTCTTCAATATTGTGACTTGAAGCTTGGATCCCCCCCCATTTCTTTCAGCTTGAGATATACTGGGTGTGTTGTTCTTTTGCTTATAATATTCTACTTTGTCTTCTAGAGCTGTCCTTTGAAATTTCCTGTTCGGCTCTTTTTCACTTCACTATGTCTTCCATTTGCTTTAGCCACTCACATTCAAGAGCAAGTTTCAGAGTCACTTCTGGTATCCTTTGTTTTTTTCTCCCTTCATTCTTTCTTGTCTTCTTAATGACCTTTGTTTTCTTCGTGCATGATGGCCAGGATGTCATCCTATAACTTTTCAGGTCTTCTCTCATCAGTGTTCAATGCATCCCATCTCTTGTTGGATGTTCTCTATCTTCTCCTTTTAGGTCCCTCACCCCTCATATCCTTTATTCTGGAAGAGGTCTAAGCAAAAGACAAGTTGAAAGAGGACAATGGATGCCCATATGCCCCTCTCCAAATCGCCTTGTTGTGTGCCATCCAGCAGACTCCGGCTCTTATCAGCCACCCAGGATGAAGCAGAACCGCTCCAGGGCTTCCAGGGCTACATCTTTACGGGCACAGCTGACCGGGCCTTTTCTTCTGAGAGCCTTCCAGTTAGCAGTTGACTACTTAGCCATTATACCACGGGCTCCTTAACACCCCATCTGGATTTGCCAAATGTTAACCTGTGCCACATGTGAGTCAGCTCTCGATATTTAACCTATTCCTCCCCTCTCTCTATCATTTCATGTTAGATATTTTAGTCTTTACTTCCTAGGAATAGTACTGCCATGGCTTACAAGGAATTTAATGGTAAGATAATACTATATTGCACAGATAGTCCACGCTAACATTTACTCAATTTCCCCCAAGTCACCTGTGATAGTTTTTTTGTGTGTGTGTCAACATGGCTCCCGTAGGACGTGGGCAGTATTTAGCCTGTCAACCAGTCGCAGCTTGATTGAAGGGCAAGCAAGCCAAATGGCTCTCTGAGGCCGGCCTCTTGCTCTTTTCTCCATGGAGGTGGTCACACTCTTTCTGCTTCACCTTCCTGTTGGTGAGCCTCGCAGCTGAGACCTGCTTGTGATGCTTCCACCTCCACTGGAGCCACAAGATTGCACCCACTGGCCTGTGATCTTCCTGCATTCTCCATCATTACATGTAGCTGTGTGATCTGAACAGGGATTTATGGACTAATGTCGAACTTATGGACTTGAGTTGGACGGGGTGGGATGTATTCTTGCATCCAATTACCCCTTGATATCAAGCTCTTTCTTACATGTATATGAGTGTCACCGAATTTGTTTCTCTAGTCAACCCGGCCTAACATATCACTTTTCAAGCTGTCTTGGTTTGGTCTGGTTTTCCGGTGGCCTTAGGTCTCATGCCTTGGAGACTGACAGTGTCCTGCTTTTACATACAACTGCAACATCATGGTTGGAGGTGGGCCGGTGCTATCCTAGGTTTGGCTTTGTCGCTGCCATTTCTTACGTGAACTCAATGTCTGGGTCTTCGCTGGTACATGAGTCTCCGGGGCTGCTCTGGCTCTAGGATGCTGTGGTGGGACCTGCAGGCTACTGTTCGTATTGACAGTGGGAAAGGGGACTATGCCCTTTGCTCCTGACGTCTGCTCAGCCTTGAGGACATGCGGCTGGCTGGTCAGGGTGATGAATGGTGCGCCTTGGCATAGCCATCCAGGACAGCCTACCACTCAGCATGTGCAGGGTGCCCCATCAATTAATGGGGAAGCTGCACACAGACCTGACCACAATAGTAGCCATACATGGGAAGTTTAACGCAATATGAAGGGGTTAAACGTGCCCGCTGCCGTTGCCAATGAGGCAAAGTGAACCCGTGGGTCAAGTCCTCCTTTCTCCACAGACCCCCTGAGGCAGCCCATTGCCAGTCTCCTGTGTTGGGATATGTTCAGAGACTCACGTACAGGGGCTTCAAAAAGTGTGTGAAAGAATGCAATGAGAATATAATGGGATTTTCCCACAACATTTCTGAAGCCTCATCCCTGTAGCCAGAAGCAGCCCTCAGTTTGTACCACGCTACTGCTTGGGAAAGTGCAACAGGAGGCACTGGTTAGAAAGAAGCACATTAGAACAGCCCCAGCTGGGGAGAGGGCACAGAACCCCAAACCGGAACTCGGTGTGGCTTAGTGGGTGGGCAGAACTCAGGCAGCCTCTGCAGACAGAGATGGGATGGGTAGGCAGAAAGAGAGGTCTGACTCTCTAGGTATCCTAGAGCGCGGACAGATAAAGAGCTGGCACGGCACGGGAGACACACGAGTCAAGAATGAGATGAGAAAAAAGAACTAGCTCTCCCCCCATTTGCGGAGTGATTGAAAGAGGAACTGGATCAGATTGGGGGTGGTGGTGGTGGTAGGATGGGGAGCTGGAAAGAGGTTCTGAAAGCCATGTGAAGGGGCTTAGGCCTATCACGGTCTGCCCAATGGTTGAAGCCCTGGAGGCCTGTGGAGAGGGCAGCCTCACCCTCAAACCTGAGGAGCCTTTTAAAGATGGGCCGTGATGTTGGGAAATTTCTTATTCACTAAAGAGAGGCACAGCAGGCTGGACCACCAGCTCGGATAGGAGGGCAAGCCCACCGCCCCCAGAGTTAGATGGTGGCTGTGCTGCTGAGGTGTTTGTGTGGCACCCCCCCCCATCAGAACCCCCTCCCACCCCTTGTCCCCCTCCAACGTGACGATGTCTACAAAAGGCAACAAAAGGCCCTAAAACCAAAACACTGAGCACCCACAGGAGGCCAGAGAGGAAGGAATCCCAAAGGGAGATACCCATCACTCTGGAGAGCTGTTGGTCACTTCTGCCCCAAAGCCGTGAGGAAGCGAAGGTGACTACGTCCTAGCTAGCACGGCCCAACTCTGTCTCCCGGGTCAGCCACTTTCACAGCAGGACCTCCTCTTTTCAGCAACAAGCAGGCAGATGACTGGAAGATTCTTCAGTGACCCCGCTTCATGGCATACCTCTTCCATCTGCTGTCCCACCTCCACCACACCCTGGGGTCAGAGCGGCTTGTCTCCTGGCATCCTGTGTGGTGGTGGCGGGGTCAGGAGGGAGTGGTGGGGAGTGGATTCCCAAAGGGCATGCTTCAGCTGAGGGCTGCCAGGCTGCGTCCAAAAGTCACAGGACAGCTCTCCCAAGGGCTGGCCCCGGTCTCCGTCACAAGAGTGGCACCTGGGACCTTTCGCCAGCACAGCACATTGTAAAGGTCCATTTGAAAAGGGTCCTCTCTCTCTTACTTCAACCACCGGGCTGGACTCCTGGCTCAGTGGGGAAGCTGGACTGACTTTCCCCATCCTACCTCCCCACAAGGAACAGTGCTCAGCTGAGGGTGACAGGGCCCTTGAGCCTCCGGAGGCCTAGCCACCAACTGGATCACATACCTCTCGCTTGGACTTCTGGGAGGACCTCTCAAGGATGTCGTCGCTGGAGAGGTCAGAGTCCTCTGAGAAGCTCAGCTGGTGCCGGAGCTGTAGCTCTGGGGGACAGGGACAGAGGAAGAGTGAGACAGTGGTGGCTGCCTGCAGGGAGGAGGGGTACAGGCAAAGGCTCCAGCTCTTTTTGACTGTGATAAGACAGCCACAGTGTACAAGGTGCCATTTTAACCCTTCATAAGCACACAGCCCATCGGCATGTAGTCTGTTTCTGCAGCACGGCGACTACTACTGGGCTCTGGAACGTTTTCATCACCCTGCAGCAGCTTAGCACCCCTGACACGCTGACTCCCATGCGCCCCGCCCCAGTACAGCTTCTAGGCTTTCTCTGTCTCTGTGCGTTTGCTTTTTCTAGATGTTTTACACACGTGGCATTGAGTGATAGTTACCCTTCTGTGTGTTAAGGTCACCGGCGATTTTAGGGTCTATCAGTGGTAGCAGGCAGGCCTCAGCAGTGGTCCCGCCTGGTGTATGTTATTCTTCTCCGGCGCTGGGGAGCAAGCGGGCATGGATGTGGGCTCTCGGCCAGGCAGTGGCTGAGCCAATGCTGAAAGGATGTTGCCCCCAGCCTGCCTGCTAATCCCTGGCAACATTGCCCTGTCCTGCAAAACCCAGGCCCGGCTTCGAGCTAAGGCGCCTTCTTCAGGAAGGGTACAGAGTCCAAGCTGTTTGCCAGCTTCAGGCTGGCCTTTCCGCTGAGAGAGCATGCTCAGCAATGGTGGCTCAGGGAGACCTGGGCTGCATCCCCAGCCTGTGTGCAAGTTGCTATGACACGGAACAAGCTTCAGCAGAGCTTCCCGACTATGACAGATGAGGAAGAGAGGCCTGGTGACCTACTTCTGAAAAATCAGCTAACGAAAACCCTATGGGCCATAACTGGTTGCGAGTTAGGATACAAGAATGCACTTTTTCTCTGTAGAGTATGGCATGAAGAAATTCTGTTACTGTGAGGAAAATGAAGCTTTAAAACCCAAAGGAAAACAAATTCACAATAAAAAAAGTTAGGAAAGAAAAAACCCCAAACCCTACTGATCACAGCTGTGTGATCAGCAAGGGAATGGGGGGAGGGGAGCATGACAAGGCCAGGTGTCTCATGTGTGTCGAGCAATCAGCTGGGGGCCGACAACACCCAAGCTCTGCGAGCCCAGAGTCCAGCTCCCTTGCTCTGGCCACCACCGGCACCTGGCCGCTAGGAACCCACAGGTGAGCTCTACGGGAAAGTGGGCGTCTTGGCCGACATACCTGCTCTCACGGTGGGAGACAGCCTGTGCTTCGCCGAGTCCACGGTGGCACCGCTGGAGGGTGTGCTGCTGCGGGACTTGTCCTCGCCCTTCTTCTTCTTGTCCTTCTTGTAGCCGGAGAAGACGGACTTCCACAAGGACTTGGGCTTGGCGGTGGCCTCCTCCAGCAGCCCGGGGCTGGGCTTCTCCGGGGGCCGGCCCTCACTCTTGGGCTTCTTCTCCTTCTTGCTCTTGCGCGGGGAGAAGAGCGACGACCTCTTCTTGCTCTTCCCGCTGGAGCCCTCGGAAGAGGTCACGGACCCGTCTGGCCCGCCCGAGTCCGACGGAGGGGACAGGGCCTCCTCGCTGGTGACCTCGTGCTTCGGC